CCACAGCCCTCGGAGGGCGGACTCCAGCAGACCGGTGCGCTCTCCAGGCTCTGGGCCCCAGTACGCTCTCCCTGCGCCCACAGGCTGGGGAGAGGGGCCTCAAGGGCTGTGTTCTCTCTCTGACTTTCCTAAGCCCTGCCCACGCCTTCGTAAAGAGTCCTGCTATTAAACTCTCCTTAAACTGCCCAGTGTGAGGGTGCTACCTAGTTCCCGCCGGGCCCCCGCGCTCAGGCGCCGAGTGTGGGGAGAAGCAGGCGCAGCCCTCGGAGGGCCATGGGATGCGTCCGCAGCGCTGCCTGGGGACGGTTGACCAGTTAGCGCAGTGAGAATCCGTCACCCTGGGATCCCGCGAGCGGGGCCACCCTGGTTTCTCACGGCTTGGGCGTTACTTCTCCAGGGCTGTCGCACCACCACCGCGGGCTGGGGTTCTTAAACACCCAAAGTTACTCCCCACGATTCCTGAGGCTGGAGGCCCAAGATCAAGGATGCTAGCAAATGTGGTGTCATCCCGAGGCCCTCTCCTTGGCGTGTACGCGGTCATCCTGTCCCTGCATCCTCACGGCTTCCCTCTGCGGGTGTCTGTGTCCCTGTCTCCTCTCCTTATGAGGACACCAGTCGCAGGGGATTAGGGCCACCCGCATGCAGTTAGGGTCACTCTACCTAATTATCTCTTAAAGGCTTATCTTCAAATACAGCCATAGTCTGCAGTCCTAGGTGCTGGAGGGACAAGTCAGCCCGAGTGCTGTGATAAGGGCTGTAAGCCCTCCAGGGGGTCCTTTCAGCTCGGTATCCCCAGGGCCCGATTCCTGGCCTGTCACTGGGTGCGTGTCCTAAACAAGGCCGTCCCCCAGCTTCCCCCTCTGGCTCTCAGCACGCGTCAGTCACCTTGAGGTGCAGGAGCTGACATCCTGGCCCTCTTCTTGTTTGCCTTTGGGGCCCGCTGTGCTCGAGCCACACAGCAGTCTCGGCGACATAAGCTGCGGGTCACAGGGGCCCGGTCAGGCCACAGCTTGCGCCCAGTCACCTTTTGTCTTTGGCTGAGGCTGTGGAGGGACAACCCAAAACAAATACCTGAACGATAGTGGCCAAGGAGAGTCACCTTTGGAGTAACAGGGTGACCCTGCTTTCTTATATTCTGGCCTCCCCCAGGACCAGTCGCCCTGCGTCCAGCACGCTCTCTCTTCTCTCTGCGCCTTCTGCCGGAAGCGCTCTCCCTGCTGAACCCCCAGCTGCTTGAGTTACGCCCTCCAGTGATCTCCTTGACCTTTCAGGCTGGGTTCTGTGCCCCTTGCTGCCGCCCCCAAGCTCTTCTCTCCTGTGCCCACTCGTCGTCTGAGGCATCAACCCCTCAGAGAGCTCTGCCGTCCTGGAGGGCGGAGCGGGCGCAGACATTGTGCATCTCTGGCGGGCAGCTCGGGCGCTTGGCCGGCACTCTGAGTGAACGGCGTGACCCCTTCTTCGGAATGAACTCTTCCCGGGTGTTGCTCAGCCAGCATCCCGGGAGGCCTTTCAGCTCCTTCCATGACCTGGTCAGCTCCCCGCCAGCCTCTTCAGCTCACCTTCCTGGAGAAGAGGCTGTACAGAGACGGCTGAGGCAGTGCCCTGCGGACCGGTGTGTGAGCCGGCCCGGCACAGCGCCTAAGAATCGTGAGGAAGGCCTCAGAGCCACTCACTCTGCCTGGGGAGCAAAGAGGGCTTCCCAGAGCCAGGGACATTTGGTTGGGGTTTTGAAGGATGTAAAGGAGTCCAACAGGTGGAGAAATGCAGGAAAAATATTCTAGACACATGCAAAGGCTGAGAGTTGTAAAAAGGCCTGACATCTCCAAGAAAGGGTCAGCCGTTAGGCGAGGAGTAACCTGCTGGCTTTGACATGAAGCAGTTTCATGCACTATAAACCACCAAGGGGACCGGGACGTTCGCTTCCTCCGCCCTGTTTCTTCCTCTTCTTCTAGCTGCGAGCTCTTTGGCTGAAAAGGTCTTTGTGAGAATCTTATTCCAACGGGACGTCTCCTTCCCCTCTTTCCAGCATCAGTGGCGAGGTGAGGCTGAGGCTGAGGCCGGCAGGCGCAGCAGTTGGCCCTGAACGCGAGGCTGCTGTGAGAAGAGAAGCTGCTGACCACTTCCAACAGCACGCTCACGGGACACGCATCAGGAATCCTGGGGACACGTGAATGCCCTGGGGTCACACAAAGGCCAGCGGCTTGCAGGGCGGCATCTCAGGGACCTGGCCGGTTCCAGTCCTGAGCTTTCTCTGCCACGCTGCTCCTCCTGGCCCTGGCTGAATGCCCCGCAGGGGCGCCGCTCCCGGCCGCCGGCAATCCTGTCCTCACGCCTCGGGGCGCAGGTGAGAAACGCTCATCACCTAGTCCCTTGTCGACTGCTGAGAACCGGAGCGGACCATCCAGGGGCCGGCAGAAAGGCCTGGACCGACTGTCACTGGGCCCCGTTTCCAGTCCCCAGGAGACTGTTTGTGTGCCGCTGGGAAAGCCATCTGACCACTTTCATTTGCTGTTCTTTCGTCTTTGGGGTGAGGCTTCTCCACACCCTCCCTTCCCTACCGGGCGGTAGGAAAGCCGCGTCCAGGGCGGGCAGGAAAGGGCTGGCAGGCGCTGGGAGGCTGGTCCTGCTGTTTGTTTTACGGAGTTTCCTCTCCACCCACTTTGGCAGCAGCGAGATAACTCACTTCCACAGCAGCTAATCCTGGCGATCAGATTTCCTGGGCCCCAAACGCTGGATGTGGTCTGACGGTTGCACAGCAAACTAAGAGCCGAACCGAATCACGGACCTCGGGGTTCTGCAAATGCCTGCTTACTGCCACCCCTGGCATTCCCCGCACGACCCACGTGTATCCTAGAAAACTGTCCAAAAACAGCAGTGTGGCCCGGACGCTGCGCCCGGCCTCCCCCAGCGACACTCTCGGAGCACATCCTTGCGCCACATTTCTGTGGTCTCCCTCTTTGAAGCTGCCCTGTGGTACTTCCAGGAACCATGCATGTAACCAGCCCTCTGGCCATGGTCACCCAGGTGCCCACACTTCTTTGAAGTGTTTTTCTCTATTCTGAACATCTGAAACAGTGCTGTTAACACAGCCGCCACGAAATCAGTGTTCAGCTACGCACAGTCCCTTCTCCTTACCTGCTGGGTTCACCGCCAGGGGCCATCCCTCCCACCATCTGCTCACCCCCTGCCAACCACTGTTTACCGGGTCCCCGCAATGGGCCGGCACTGTGCCGGGCTCTGGTGGCTCTCCCGTTCTTTGCTTCTTGTTCTTGGGACCCTCATTTATTTCGTGCCCCAGTGCTACTTATAGTTGGTTTAAAGTCAATGTAGTAACGCCTACGAATCTATTAATTTTTTTTCTCTAAACTGTTTAAATACTGACTGATCAAAACTTAAATCCTTACAAATAAATTGCCTCAAACATTTACACACTTAGTCAAATTGTCCTGTTTCCAATGTTTTTGGCGTCACTTCCCTTGGATGCTTCAGACACCTGCAAAGCACAGACGCTGCACTGTACCAGTACCTAAGCCCATCTGTCAAAACCTTAACTATTGTTCTGGTCAATTTGTTATTCCCTCAAAATGTATTTTTTTGTATTTTTTCCAATATCAGACCCCAAAGAGAAAGGTGATCTCCTTCCCAGGTGCACGGAAGTCATAGCCTCTGGGCCGGTGGCCGGTGGGTTCTCGGCTGGAACGTGGAATCCTTCAAGGCGACTCCGGTGGGGTGGGGCAGGCGTGCTCTCGGGGCTCCGTGTCTCAGACCAGGTCCCTCCGCTGGGTTCGCAGGACTGAGGAGCCATTCTTGCAATCTTCACCGCTATGTACCTTGAACCCTGGGCTCATGATGTTCTGCCTCAGTTTACAATTAACTTCATTTCATTTCAATTACCAGGGACTTATCACAGTTTAATCTACCCGCCATTCTCCTAGGACATCTGGCTAATCCATGAACTTGAAAAACCAATGACTAAACTCTTTTTACCTGGTAACTTATGAGATCAGTGGTCTGGTCCTGCCCTTCCTGGTTTTGGTGCAGTTCCTACTCTTTCTGGAAACCTGTGACTTACTCATAGGCAGCTTCTCTGCTCTTCTCCACTTACACAGACCCAGCACTTCACGAACAGCTATATGGACCATTCCATATAGGCCAAACTCACCTACTTACTAAAATATCCTATTTGTACCTGTTGAATTACAACCGGCATTGTAATTATACATTTACAGATAATATTAACCTTTCCTCTTTATCACTGAGAACTTGGGGCTTTTCATAGACTCAGGCTGTACTTGCAGATCAGCAGCTGTGGATCTAGTTATTCTTTGTGACACGCAAGTTGCCACAACCTGGCCAGAGGGACGCCCTTTCTCTCTCAGAGGCCTCCTCTGTCTTTTCAGCACCAGCCCAGCCTGGTTCTCCAGCAATAGAAACTGCGGTTCAGGCCGCTCTGATTTTCTCTGGCTCCCAACAGGGACTCAGCTTCCCTGAAGGAGCTGTGGCGACTGCTAATGAAATACGCTACGGAGATCAATATGTGGGTGCTGAGGGAACAGTGGACTGGGCATTAGGTGGCACAGGATGGCCACTGAAAAGACAGAACTAGGAGAGATGGCGCTTCCCAAGGTCACAATCATGTTCACAGTGAGACTGCTCGGATTCTTCTCATATAACTATGCTCTTTCTTTCATACAATTTTAAATGGACTCTTCAGCGTGCCTATTCAGATTTTTAGCACTTGACCCAGGCTGTGATTACCCCCAACTCTGACTCTATCGTTGCTCTGTGCCTCGAGGGTCATTATTTTGAGGTCACGTGGATGTGTCCTTTACCGGGAAAGCATCTTATACAAGCACGTGTGCCCTGGCTGGGCGGCTCAGTTGGTTGGAGAGTCGTCCCGCACACCAAAAGTTTGTGGGTTTGATTCCAGATCAGGGCACATACCGAGGCTGCAGGTTCGACTCCCAGTCGGGGTGTGTGCAGGAGGCAACTGCTCAGTGTTTCTCTCTTGAAAAAAAAGCATATAATTATCCTGTTTTCATGTAATGAAAATTATTGTTGTCACACAGCTGTTGGATATAATTATAAAATTATTGACACAAATACATTCAATTATGTAAATTAATTATCGATTTGTAACTAAATGCCATTTCACGTTGATAAATTTATTGACACAGATTCATCCATGTGCGGTCGTGAGCGGCTGACTGCCACCCCTGGGCCATCTGGGAGGCTCGTCTCCTCTAGGGACCAGCATGGAAGCAGGATGCCATTAATTATATAATTTCAAGCAATTTATATTTAATTCCACTAATGCCTCTTCATTAACTGAAGGCATTTTGAGATTTTGCTGATTGAAAATGTGCAAGTCACCCAGCAAAGTAACGGACGAGCCAGGGGTGGACTCATCTCTCCATTTGCAAATCTGGTCCCTTAGAAAGGGACTTGGTCATTTCTGCATCCGTGGCCAGGGCAGTTTTCAGTAATAACAGGTGCTCATTGACTCTTCTTTGGAGAGAGGAGGGAAATGCCATGGGAATGGCGGAGAAAATCATAGTGGTCCCAATAACCCAGGGCCATCGCCCAGTGTCCACAATTGCTTTTTTCTTTTTTAGATTTGACTTCAATATAGTCTGAGGTAATGGGGTTTTGAGATAAATTTTAAGTTGCTTCATTTCCAAAATTCATTTTGGCTTCACCCAGGAACAATCCATCTGCTAATCAATAAATATCATTTAAATGCCACTGCAAGAAAGGCAATCAACACAAAATCAATGCTGTCAGCAGCCCAGAAAAACTCTAGTTTCCTGAAGGAGATCGATTCACAGCAAAATAGCTATGACTGTAAATATTTATAGTTCTGAAAGGAAAAGCTCATTAGTGCAGCTTTCTGAGCAGGTCCTTTCCAAATTAAAGACTGGGATGGGCTCCACCCAGCCAGTAATGGAGATGTGGTGGGTGTATCACAATAACCCTCCCACTGCCTTGGATTTGGTGCTTTGGAGAGTGTGGTGGGTAATTTGGACCATCCGGGTGGCAATGTGGTGGTGCAGGAAGAACACTGGGCATGGAGAGACCAGTTCCACACCTTGGTCTTCATGGACTTGCTGTGTGAGCTCAGAAGGCACATAACCTCTCTGAACACTCCTTTCCTCATCTGCAGAAGAATGATAGTCTCACCTGTCCAATTGAACCTCTCTGTTGTGAGGGTGAAAGGAGGGGCAGCAGCGATATCTCTGAGCATGTATTTAGTGGGCAAATGTGGGGTCTTAGAATGACTCCTTAGATCCCAAGAACAGGATTAAGGAGCAGGCAGAAAGGCTCCTGAGAAGTCAGATGGCATCAACCTGAAGCTCGCCTTCCAGGGAGTGTTGCTACTGGAAACCGGTGGCAGAAGTGAGTGTGCTCACCCAGCAGTGCTGCTGTGCGGCGGGCGCTGGGAAGCAAGGATGACGAGGACCCGTGGGCCATGCTTCTCCTGTGCTCTGGAAGCTCCCCGAGGGCTGTGCAAGCAGGTAAGCGTGATGGATGTGAGGCGTGCAAGGCCGCGTGAGAGCTTGGAGCCCAGGTACGAGCGGTAGGGCTGTCTGTAGGGGAATTTCTTCCAACTGAGCAGCAGCAGAGGGGAGGTCATTTCCAGGAAAAGACATGACAGGTAAAGATTAGCCCTTCAGGGGAACCATAAAAATAAACCAGTGTTTCCCAGCCTTCTCCAGTGAGTTTCACTTTTACTTTTTTTTTTTTTTTGCCTTGTCTCTGCATCATGGGTACAGCTTCCTTTAAGTTGACTAACTGAAAAGAAATATATATAGCTGTATTTAAAAAGAAAACTTATTACTACTGTAAATGAAAAAACAAACACTATCATTTGTTATGAACTAAAGATAAACTTAATACAAGCAACACAAACTCATTAATTTCTTCAATAAATAGCTGTCAGGCTCAGTTCTCGTTTCTGGGGCTGAAGGGTGACCGAGAGGGACAAAGGCGAGCAACTGAGAAAAATTAATGCCAGATAGTAATAGATACTATGTAGAAAATATAAAGTTATTTAGGAGGGTGACTTCACAGGGGTGGGTCTGGGAGGACCCCCGGAGATGTCATTTGAGCAGAGATCTGAAAGAAGTGGCAGAGCTAACTACCTTAACATCAAAACCCGAAAACAAGGTCATGACCTCTGGGCAGCAGGAAGCCGGTGAGCGGGGGTCCGAGGAGCGCCCGCACCCCGCAGCCAGGAGCAGGGCCGGGAGGGGGCTCGGAGGCGCCCTCGCACCCCGCAGCCAGGAGCAGGGCCGGGAGGGGGCTCGGAGGCGCCCTCGCACCCCGCAGCCAGGAGCAGGGCCGGGAGCGGGGCTCCGTGGCGCCCTCGCACCCCGCAGCCAGGAGCAGGGCCGGGAGCGGGGCTCCGTGGCGCCCTCGCACCCCGCAGCCAGGAGCAGGGCCGGGAGCGGGGCTCCGTGGCGCCCTCGCACCCCGCAGCCAGGAGCAGGGCCGGGAGCGGGGCTCCGTGGCGCCCTCGCACCCCGCAGCCAGGAGCAGGGCCGGGAGCGGGGCTCCGTGGCGCCCTCGCACCCCGCAGCCAGGAGCAGGGCCGGGAGCGGGGCTCCGTGGCGCCCTCGCACCCCGCAGCCAGGAGCAGGGCCGGGAGCGGGGCTCCGTGGCGCCCTCGCACCCCGCAGCCAGGAGCAGGGCCGGGAGCGGGGCTCCGTGGCGCCCTCGCACCCCGCAGCCAGGAGCAGGGCCGGGAGCGGGGCTCCGTGGCGCCCTCGCACCCCGCAGCCAGGAGCAGGGCCGGGAGCGGGGCTCCGTGGCGCCCTCGCACCCCGCAGACCTGACCCTCAGGAGGGCGGAGACGAGGCGCCTTCTCCGCGTGGTTCTAGGTTAATTCTGGCGGCATGGGCTGCATCGTCTGGTACCCCCTGCGGGGAAAGCACCCCACTTTGGGAGACGCTGCAACCAGAGAGGGAGGCAGCCGTGACCGCCGGGCTGACACCGGTGAACAGACCAAGAAAAGTTAAATCGCTGCTCTAGACCAGTCAGCAAAGGGCAGGGCTGGGTGCCGCCCCTCCCCGTCCAGCCCGGCCGCTCCGCGCCAGGCCGGCCCGAGCTCGGGCTGCAGGCAGCTGTGGGGAGCCCG